TCTACTAGGTCCCTTCTGACCCTAAATCTATGAAACTATACAGGAACCAAGGGCAGTAAGACCCAGGGGAAGCCCAGCAGGCTCCAACAACAGCGGGGGCCGCCCACCCAGCCCCACCCCACATCCAGAAACCCCAGCTGGCGTTTCTGGGTTTGGAGCATGTGGCTGCCCAGCATGGGAAGCTCAGGTAAGGGGGGTGGCGGTCCTTCACAGTGAAGGAGCACGGGGGGGGGGGGGGCCCGCATGGGGCTGCAGTTGCTCGTGGCCTGCGGGGGGCTGCCTGTGCCCACTCCAGACAGCCCCATGCAGGCTGTGAGCACCGGGCATGGGAGGAGCTGCTTCCCCCCTGCTCTCAGCTTTTCCTCGAACTCCTTCCCTGCATGGAGAAAAGCAGCCCCTCACCCACCTTATGGCTGGCACCCCATGTTGCAGGTGCTTGCAGCTTGCACGGGGCTGTCCAGAGCAGGCAGCCCCAGGCAGGCTGTGAGTGGCTGCAGCGTGGGGCACCAGGCATGGGGTGGGGAGGGGCTGCTTTCTCCCCTCCCCCCTGCACTCAGCACTGCCTTGTAACCCAGCACCACTGCCAGGCTGGCAGTGGGGTGGGTTACAAGCTGGTGCTGAGCATGGGGAAAAGTGGCCCCCCGCGCCACAGTCGCTTGCAGCCTGCCTGGGGCTGCCTGGGCCTGCGCCGGACAGCCTCACACGGGGTGCAAGTGCTTGCAATGTGGAGCGCCGGCCATGGGGTGGGTGAGGGGCCGCTTTTCCCCATGCTCAGCACCAGCTTCTTCCCTGCCGGCGAGCAGGGGGTCGGGGCTGTGCGCTGCCTCTCACCTGGGGGGCACTGGGTGTGAGCAGGCGGAGAGCTAACAGGAGCACAGGGCCTGCACCGGTGTCCCAGGGCCAGTGCCAGAGGGGCCCAGAGCAGGTTGGCAGGAGCGCAGGGTCCCAGGCGGCAGAGGCTCTATGGAGCCGGGCCAGCTCCCCGCCCCCTTTGCTGGTGCAGCCCAGCCCGGCTCCACAGACCCTTGCCAGCTTGCGCCCTGCTCTGGGCCCCAACAGTGCTGGCCCTGGGACAGTGGTTTCAAGATAGTGACCAGGGGACGGGGCACCTGTGAAGGGGCGGGGCTACCCATGCAGCACTCAACAGCCTGCCAAAACTGGGTAAGCAGCCCTCGGCTCAAAATAATTGCCTGCCCCTGCTCTACATAATGCTACTAGATGACTCCGGGATCTACAGATATCCAGTGCTTTAGTTCTGGATCTCTTTGTCTGTGTACTGAGCGGTATGCTGTGAAGTCTCTGTGTTTGTTTAAAAATGGAACAAAATACAGATATTTGTTTGGTATTTAACTGCTATTGTTTAGGTGCTGCAGCTTTACCATGCAAGCTGTAACATGAATTCATTAAATAAAGAGAAACATTGGCTGAAAATGAAGAGATGGATATATTTTTCAGTTCAGAATCTGGATTTTTATTTTTGAATAAAATCTAACCCTGTATCCAGCATCTGCATTGCAGCTGATCTTGAAAGCAGTGTCTGTTAATTATCTTTGGCATTATCAGAATATAAACCAACTGTTTGTTTTTTCTTTGCAGTGCCCCAATGCCCTACCTCATTGGAATACACTTAAGTTTAATGGAGGTAAGTCTTCCTCACCAGCTCTGAGTAGTCTGTATTTCTGTGATTTAGTCCACAGTTCAAGTGGTTACATATGTGTTTAACTTGAACTTTAAATATGTGACTAATCCAGCTAACTGGAATTGGTCGTGTGATTTACACATTTAATTTTAATGTTTGTATCACAAAGCTTTACTTAGTTATTTTTGTAGTCCTTTGGGTAAACTGCCTTTTGATTCCATTTTCAAGCCAGATTCAGCAACTGGGGCATGTGGCATCCATCTCCTCACCTTGTGTGGTGTGAAGCTTATTTTATTTAAGCAGTTTGCCACAACTGCATGCAACTGTCTGGAGGGGCAGTTTGACTTTAGTAACATAAATAGGGACCAGGCTGTACTTCGCCTTTTCTAGACTGTTATAGAGTAGTCTTACTAGATTAACACCCAAAAGTTGTACAAGTGGGTAGCATCTGTGTTTCCAAAAGGTGTTGGATGGGAATATTTTTACCTCTGGTTATTCATGCCCTGTAATAGGGGCAGTCTGAAAAACATGTCAGTTCTGGGAGTGGGGAAGAGTTTTCTGTGGCTGGTGTTCAGAAAGCATGTAAGCCTCAGTACAGGTTAGGATTTTCCCAGCTTGGTGTCTAAGGAGCTACTGGTGCTCAGTAACTCTGTAAACTATCTCACTTGTTGTATGTCTTCAAGCACTCAAGTTTGAATGTGTGAGCTGTGCTGTACATGGTCTTACAGTGTAGCAGGCACTGAGATATGTTTCACATACAATAGTATATGATACAAAAATATTTGGAACCTACATCAAAACCAAGCATGGGTCATGGATTTCCTTTCCCCTGTATGTCCTAGCAGGGATCATCCATGGTTGTGTCGTCCCAAGAACCATAGATCCCTGTGCTTGTACTACTTTATAAAGCTCTATCATGCAGGGCAGCAACTCATAAACAGTTTCTTACAGTGGGTCAAATGGAGTGTGACATACACATTCAATTTTAAGGACCTTTAAAGTCGCACTTTGCTGAAAAGCAGCAAATTCTGTGGGCCCTGGAGCCACTCTCACTTTTAAATTAAAACTGTACTCCAATCTTTATCTCGCATATGATCACACACACTTGTGACAAGGAAACAAAACCCAAACAGTGTATTTTGAATCCAAGCAAGGTGTGGTGGATTGAGCATGAAGCTAGAAGCCAGGAGATTGGGAATTCTCATCCTAGCTGGTTAAGCAAGTCATGTAATCTGTGCGCCTTGGTTTCTTTATCTCTAGGACAGGGATGATAACAACAGGCATATTGTGAAGGCTGATGTTTTCACAGTTTTTTTAAAGACCATGCCATTCAGGCATTAAATAGCATTTTAGTTACCACACCAGAGCCTACAGCTGTTGATTACTTTTTCCCAAGTACAAGAATGGAATCACCTCTCCAAACCCTCTCCTGTGAGTTTCTGAAAATTATCTACCATGTAAATGTTGTTCTTATGTTGTAGCTAAGGGGTGGGCAAAATGCAGCCTGGGGGCTGGATGCGGCCCACCAGGTTATTCTATCCGGCCCATGGGGCTG